TCTTTGAATTAAGCTCATGAAAAATGGGGGTAAAAACAAAAGTGTTGCGTTTATAATTTTGTTCAGTGTACTTGCAAAATCATACTTACAAGGATATCAGTCTCCATTTGCTATGTATAGCCTCAATTTAATTCAATATGATCACATTTAATGGTATTTGCACTTTTTGGCTACCAGTAAGCCATTTCACAGATCAGATGGATTTAATTACAGCAGTTAAAGACTTCTCTGGAGCTTAAAAAGATTTGTTTGTGGGTGCAGGCAAATAGTACAAGGGAGTGGGTATATTATTGTTGATCACCCCTAAAATATTGCCAGTTGTTCAAATTACTCCTCCCACAGATGGCCGAACCTCTAGGCACTACTACCCCACCAACTAAAATAATCCTCCTGCCACCTTCATCCCAATAATAGAGAAGGGGGGCAATAGAATGTAATATTAGAAACAGTAAGATTACTTACTGTAAGATTACAAAGGTTTTAGAATGGAATATTAGAAACAGGATATTTAGCAGGATTAACATGCAAGTAGTCTGGTTCAAAAATGCTGGTGCAACAGTCTAAATTAAGATAGTCTGAAACAACATATAGTCATGTGCCAATGTAAGAATTAATTAAATAATGAAGAGGTGGTGTCTGCATAGCACAGCACAGCATAGTTCTTAACCTTACTTGGTCCTGAGCAAAGCATAGTTTTATATATGTTAGCAGTTTTAAGAATATAAGAACTGATCATGGGCTAGGCAAATTTGGTACTTTGGAGGAAGTGAAATGGAATAGGATTTGGGGTTAACTTCCAAAAGGAACAAGATGACCATGTGGTGAAGTGAGTTTATTTTGTTTCTTTGTAAACACTTACATAGTTAAATAGGTTGAAAAAAAGACTTGAGTCCATCCTTTCTCAGTACTAAATGCTTTCCAATTTTGCAACAAACTAGGAAATAATGCCTTCTCGACCCCTGAATTTCTGTCAGATCTCTCCTTGGATCAATAAGCTGTTACCCCACATATGAAAAATTATATCCATGAATATGATGTTTGCTCACTGAAGACTCCATACAGACAGAACTTGCATGACAAGAAAATCCCTTGAAAGGGCTTTTCCCACATTATGCAAACTCAATCAGAGCACCGTGACTGGTCAGCTTGAAAGGGAACTAATCAGAGAGGCAAGTTTCATTAATCTCAAGATTGTGCCGGTCTCCCCCCATTTATAATAGTTATAGCCCTCACCCACTGATCATGGGTGGGTGCTGGGGGTGGTAAACTCTGTGGAGGCATAAGTTTGGACACAATGTAATGCCCCATTTTATTCTACTCTAATTAAGAAAAATAAGTCTTAAGTTATAATATGTTACTCAAGGGATTGTTTCTTTAAGCAGATGCTGCAGGTTTTCTAACATCTCAAGCAGTCTGACTGTGGGTTTGCTAATAGAGCGATTAAATTACAATGTCTCTGTTGGAGTCCCCCAAGGTTCTGTACTTGGTCCCCTTCTATTTTTCTATTTTCTCTTTATACTGCATCTCTTGGCAAACTTATTACCTAATTTGGATTCCAATACCACCTGTACTCTGATGACACTCAGATGTACTTCTTTGCCCCTGACTTCTCCCCTACCGTCCTGCAACATGTCACTTGCCTTTCTTCCATCTCTGACTGGCCTCCAGCTTTTTTTCTCTAAAACTGAACTCCTTGTTTTTCCTCCTCCAAATACTGATCCTCCTCCTTCACTGTCCCTTCAAGTTAGTCATACCCACATCACTCCATCCTTCCAAGCACACTGTCTTTGCGTTATACTTGATTCTGGCCTCACATTCAGTCTGTTACCAAATCACGTAGATTCCATCTTAAAAACATAGCCCGCATCCGCCACTTTCTTACACAAGATGCTACTAAGGAGCTTGTCCATGCTCTAGTAATCTCTTGCATGGATTATTGTAACTCTCTCCTAATAGGTCTTCCCACAAGTCGTATTGCCCCGCTACGGTCTGCAAAGAATGCTGCAGCTAGACTGATTTTCCTCTCCAGTCGCTCCTCTCACACCTCTCCCCTCTATCAGTCCTTACATTGGCTTCCTATATTATAGAAGTCAATTCAAGGTACTAATCCACACCTATAAAGCACTGACCAATTCTAGCCCCTCCTATATCTCTTTACTGACTCGCAGGTATGCCCCTCCTCGGTCTCTCCGCTCTGCCCATGACCTTCTCCTGTCCGCTGCTCGCACCCATACGGCCAACTCATGCTTGCAGAACTTCTCGTTGATGGCTCTTTTCCTTTGGAATAGCCTGCCTACAACCATCAAGCTCTTCCCTATTCTTCAATAATTGCATTAAAACCCATCTCTTTAGGAAAGCTTATGTCCTCTTTCCTAAAGGGCAGCACTCTATTCTCTCCTCCAGCTCTGCTTCACTCCACCTTGTTTGATTGCTACCTCCTGTCCTATTGTGTTTTACGCCCCACTTTCTAAAGACTGTAAGCTCATTTGAGCAGGGCCCTCTTCAACCTATTGTTCCTGGTAGTTTTTGTAATTGTCTCATTTATTGTTAAATCTCCCCCTTTGATAATATAGTAAATCGCTATGGAATATGCTGGCGCTATATAAATACCAGTAAAAAATAATAATAATAATAATTAATTTATTTTTTTCTCTTTAATTAACCAGGGTTATTATGGCAATAACTAAGGAACACTGCTTAAAGGACCACTCTAGATCCATAAAGCACTACAGATTGCTAAAGTGCTCTATGGGTGAGAAATATCCCATTTTACTAAAGTTTATAAATGTACCATTTTCTGTGAGGAATCAGTACTTTTATAAATAAATTATGGAAACACACCTAGTTGTCAGATAGTAAAGGTAACCTACTTCTGTTAGCCATCCTGAGCTGACAGAAGTGGCAGGCATGCTCTACAGATAATGCACACTATACAGATCAGCTTCTTTGAGCCTTCAGACCTCAGATCTGCTCCTTCACAGACCTCTGATCAGATGCAGATGCATCAGAGGTTTCTTAATTAAAAGCTTCTGATAGATTTATTCCCCCAGCAGATACTTTTTGTCTCTTTCAGGGAAAAAGGGGAGGGCATGCAAAGGCTGCAGTTAATAAGAACTGCAGCTTTTGTGAGTTCCTTAAGAAATACCCACAATGACTACATAGATGAATGAAACAAAATAATTTGCCGTTGCATGGGTTTTTTTGGACTGTTAAATTCAGACATTGTCATACTATTCATCAAGGGCAGGAATTAGCTATTTCAGCCGCGTCGAACTCCGTTGATTGTCTGAAACCCGGACCTCACTTCTTTCGAGACTTGGCTGTCAGAGCAAACTGATTGATTGGCTAACTTACTGAAGGACAGACACCATTCCTTGGCCCTATATGCAAAGACACCTGGTGATGGCAAAGTTCTGGTCAGGACGGTCTTTGAGAATGCTTGGTGTTCTGGATGAGGCGAGTTTAGTTTAATGCTGTGTCATGTCGTTCTGGAGCTGGGTGTGTTCTCTTTCACTGATGTTGTTGAGGTGGATGGGGTACTTCTCTGACTTGCCTGGATTTGGTCTTAAGAGCGGGAGGCAGAAACTGGAAAGTAAGCATAAAGGAGTCCACAATCCTATTCATCTAGACGACGCTAGATAGGACATGGGTTTGGTCGTCCTTTCAGACCAGCAATTTGAATGGGTGAACCCCCATGTATTTCAGGCCTTGCTGATTTAGAGATAGAGTAAGATGTTTTAGGTCTTAGGTCCAAATCCTGGTAAAAGGCCACCTGGAAGTCTTGATACTATAGGGGATTAGGTCAGACCTGTCCCAGCAGATGCTTTTTAGTGGGGAAATAGTCTTTTGCCTCTTTCAGCAGACTTTAAAATATCCCCTGCAGAGTTGGGAGGAGGTTGTCTGCAGTGTGTTTCTAAAAGCCCCATGATGAGGACATGTCTTTGGAACAAGATGGCTGCTGAGGCCCATTCAGCATGCAGATGCCACTAATGGGGTAAGTTCTAATTTTTTTCTTTCTGCCAACCATTGCTTGAGGGATTCAGTAGATGGAGGTGAGTTAGAGGGGCTATTGCCTTAAGTATAATGTATCATTTTCTGGCTGACATACATGATTGCATTCACACCAGACCTGTAAAGGCAAACTACATTTGTTTTTGAGTGTTGACCCTTTAACATTAACGGTAAAAGGCCAAGTGGAAGTCGATTTGGACGGTTGCAGGACAGCGTGCAGGTTGTCGGTGACCTCACAGGCAAAAATTCAGCATGCGATGACGGTGCCAGTAGATGGAGGTGAGTTAGAATTGCCGTATCATTTTCTGGCTGACATACATGATTGCATTCACACCAGTCTGACCTGTAAAGGCAAACTACAGAGTGTTGACCCTTTAACATTAAATAATTTAGAAAATTTTGTAAACAATGCACCTGCAGTTTGACACTATTTGCCCTTTTTAGGTTGCTGTTAGCCAGTATTAACATAAACATTTACATATTAAAATAATAACTGTCATATCTTTTTAATTTGTGCTTGCAATTTAATTACTTCATCATTAACTCATTTAATGTGGTTTTTGCAATATGCAATCCACTGAATTTATGTGTGTGCAGATGGATGTTTTTTTTACTAACAGATGTACCTAGCACTTTATACTTTTTAACTGCTTTGTGTGATTTTATTTTATCCTTCCTGTTGGGAAGGGGAGGCAAAACATTTATATTTTAAAGCCTTTGCAAGTTATTAGTGATATATGAGTTGTCAGTTTAAGAGTGTTTTTTAAGTGGTATTTTTTATTTGAACAAACATTTTTATAAAGTCCATGGACATACTATTACTTATTTATTATGTTTATCAAAATAATGTTAATTCGGGGCGCGTGGCCTGACACCTAGCTGTATAGACGCTTTCTAACGAGACTCCTGCAAACCGGGTGCCAAAGGACTAAAAATAAACGGACTGCATAGCACAAAAAGTACAGAAACTACCTCTCTACTCTTCAGAGATGTCACAGAAGCAGAAAGCAAAAGCAGCAAAAGCAGATCGAGCCTCCTTCCTCCTAGTTAAGCCGGCGGCGTCACAAACGCGAAAAGCCTGTGGCCTGCTCAAAGATGGCAGCGCCACTCGCTCTGAAGAGGATCCCCCTCCATCACCGATGTCCTCAGATGCTGGACCGGAGGACAGCCCGCTCACAGCGCAAAACATGAAAAAGATGCTGGCAGAACTTACGGACACCATCCAAAGAAATATGGCGACACAGATACAAGCCCTCATGGTGGATCTCCGAAAGGAGATACTAGAAGTAGGTCAGCATACTGCCCAAGTGGAGAAACAGATGGACGAGTTCGTTGAGGCACATAACAGCCTCACAAATAAATTGCAAGAACTGGGCTCCATCCTCCATGACCACGCGTTAAAAATGGCCAACATGGAGGACAGGTCGAGGCGCAACAACTTGCAGATACGCGGCATCCCAGAGTCCATACTAAACCCAGCCCTCAATACCTACTTGCTAGACCTGTTCCAAGCATTGACACCGGAGACCATTCCAGACCAGCTCATCATCAATCGGGCGCACTGGCTGAGGAGACCTAAACACCTCCCATACTCCACCGCAAGGGATGTGATTGTTAGAGTCCACTTCTACCACGCTAAAGAGAGGCTAGTCAGAGCATCCCATTCATCAGGCATGCCAGAGCCTTACCAAGACTTCAAAATATTCACAGACTTGTTGGCAGCAACCCTACAATTCCGTAAAAGTCTGAACCCCCTCACAGCCACGCTGCGCACACTAGGGATCACATACCGTTGGGGATACCCAGCAAAATTGCTCATCCATTATCAGGACTCACTACATGCAGTGGACTCACTCCCAGCTGGCAAGGAAAAATGTCAAAGTTGGGGACTGTCGATAACCGTGACCGGAGACCAAACCAAGGAAAAGATACCCCGGATTACCCCGGAATGGAACCCAGCCTGATACCTAGAGGGCAACGGTATCTACCTCTCCTCCATATTAGAGAGTTGTTAAGTATACCAATGCCTTAACTGCTACTAAATAGAGCAGACATTGTTATGCATACATTGTTGGTTAAGAATGTTAATGGTTAATATGAGTTATGTTTCATACTAAAGCTATCCAGCTCTGTGACAACTGTGACTACTAGGGGGCCTCTGACCCCTAAACTTATACATTAGTGGGTAAGGTGCACCCTGACTGCAAAAGTAGGAAGAGTTAAAGAGGCCCCCCGACACAAACAAATATTAGTAACCGTAATCAACTACACATAGCCCTAAAGGCCACAGATGAGCCACTCCATACAACAGGCCAGCTTGGCGCATTCAGGCTCTCCCAGGTAGAGCCCAACAGGGGTTTTCACCCCAAACCAAATCCCCAGTTTACTACTTCCCTAGTTACTTCTTCCCCCTACCTACCCAGGTCCACCCCAGCAGATTCCTGCTCATTATGTTGTATTGTACCCCGCGGGGGCCGAAAAGAGTGGCCCAAAGCATATACCCAGTTGAAACTGACTGTAATTCACCTCATGTGTAGGAATATTTACAGAGATGGCATTATGTCTACCTTCAAACTGACCCCAGGCTTTGAATCAATCACCATGCACCATAGCAAAACCTGTCCCCGGCTACAATTAGGGTAGTAACATATAATGTGAAGGGGCTGAATACCCCAGGAAAACTAAGTTTATTGCTTAGAGACCTGGTAAAAAATAAAGTAGATATCGCATGCATTCAAGAAACCCACTTTAAGAAAGGTTATACCCCTAGGATCTTCAATAAACATTACCATACACAGTTCCATGCGCTGTCAGAAGCCAAAACCATGGGTGTATCCATATTTATACATTACAGTATTTATACATTACAGTTTATAGAGCCCCAAGGCAGATTCATAATCCTCCAGTGTTATACCACGGCATAGGATCTTCAATAAACATTACCATACACAGTTCCATGCGCTGTCAGAAGCCAAAACCATGGGTGTATCCACTATTTATACATTACAGTATTTATACATTACAGTTTATAGAGCCCCAAGGCAGATTCATAATCACTCCAGTGCCTCCTTAACGCATCCCAGATACCCTCTGGTCACGGCATACTTCCGTAATGATAATCCCAACCACTACCTCGAATCCCTACTAACAAAAATTGACCAATATCGACTAGGTAATTTACTTTTGTGTGGAGACTTTAACTTTACCCAAACACCCCTAGACAGATCGACCCAAAGGGGCAATAGAACCCACTTGATCACAGGACAAGACCCACAAACACATCACCAAGACTCTTTCCCTGCATGACCTTTATGGTGTCTGGAGAACCCTCAACCCCAAAACAAGGGATTATACTTTTTACTCAAGGGTACACAACTCATACTCTCGGATAGACGGGTTTTTTGTAGATAGAGTGACTCTACCCCTTGTCTCTGACTGTAGGATTGGTGAGATCACCTGGTCTGACCATAGCCCAATCACCCTGGTATTGAAGGATGAGTTCCAATTCAAAGGAAACAGAACTTGGAGGTTAAATTACTCCCTATTAAATGAAAAGAAATTCATCAAAACAATTAGAGAAGAGCTAGCAACTTATTTCAAATTAAACACTAACCATGAGACCACAGACGCCACTGTTTGGTCCGCGCATAAAGCGGTACTTAGGGGTCTATTCATAAAACAAGCATCATGTATTAAAAAACTCCAAGATTCGGCACTGCTGGAATGCCACACACAGATAGCCCAACTCTCTGCGTTAAATAAGACACACCCCACACAAGACATAGAGACCTGAACACAGAAAAAACTAGGCGTCTGCTACACAAGTTAAAAGCTGACACCTATCACCAAAGCAGTAAAGCCACTAAACTTTTAGCAGCTAGACTGTGCAACAAATGCAATTCGCAAAAAATAGCCCATTTTATAAATGATAGAGGTTGGAAAATACTCAATCCCAATGACATTACACAAGCCTTTGTGAGATTCTGCGCTAAACTATACAACCTGCATCTCACATCAGGTATTTACAACCCGACCGAGGATAGCATTTCAGATTACCTAAAACAGATACACTTGCCGCAAATCACGCAAGCACAAGAAGCAGAACTCCAACAACCCATAGCCTTAACTGAGGTCATTTCAACCATCAAAGCCCTGCCTCAAGCAAAATCCCCCGGGGCTGATGGATTCACCAATACATATTACAAGAAATTTGCGGATACACTGGCCCCTCACCTGCTGAGAGTTTACCACCAGGCCACCACAACAGGTTCCCTTCCACCGGAGATGCTTATGGCCACCATTATCACCATTCCAAAGCCTGGTAAGCCCGCAAATGACTATATAAATTACCGCCCGATCTCCCTCCTTTACACTGACGACAAAATCAATGCGAAAATTATGGCAAACAGGATGTGCGGGTTGTTGCCGGGGCTGATTAGTGATGATCAAACAGGGTTCCTTGGGGGGGGAAACAGGGCTCAGATAATACCTACAACCTTATGCACATCTTTGAACACCTCCGTAGGCCTAGCCGAGGGGGTCTGCTATTAGCCTTAGATGCGGAAAAAGTGTTTGACCACCTTGGATGGGCCTTCTTGAGACAAGTCCTGGTCAAATATGGATTCCCCCAACAGGTCATCACCCAAATTTTTGCACTATACTCGGCCCAAAAGGCTAGGGTTCTACAAGCTGGGTTCCATTTGGACCCATTCAAATTATCTAACGGGACTCGACAGGGGTTATTATACGTATTAGCCCTGGAGCCACTCCTGGCCTCAATATGAGCCCACCCCAACATAACTGGCATCCAGGTTAAAATTAGTGCTTTTGCAGATGACATTTTATTATATATGTCCCACCCGACCAAATCATTGCCCCACATTATGTCGCTCATTCAAGAATATGGAGCACAGTCTTACTACTCCCTAAACACCTCCAAAACCCAAGTACTGGATAGCGACCTGAAAGGCCTAAGAGAGTCATACCCCTTCGACTGGAGGAAACATGACATTACATACTTAGGGCTACTATTTACCAAGAAACAGTCAGAACTATACACAGGCAATCACATTAAAATATGGAAAGAGTGTAATCTACAACTTAAAAGGTGGGCCCCACTTTACCTAACTTGGACAGAAAGGATAGTGGCACTGAAAATGTCTATCCTCCCCAAGTTACAATATATCTTTAGAACTCTCCCAATAACCGTCCCAAACGCCTTCTTCCAAATGGTAAAAAAAGATACAGACAACTTTATTTGGGCAGTGTCCAAACCGAGAGTGGCCAGGAAGTTACTACAAGCACCTAGAAGGAAAGGTGGGCTAGGGCTACCAGACACGAAAGCCTACTACCACGCATCCATACTGTCCTCATTCCTAATCCATCATACAGATAAAACACCCCCCCCAATGGGTAGATATAGAAGGGAGCCTGCTGAGACCCTTTACAGTGCCTAACCTTATGTGGCTGCCAAAATAACACTGCCCAATGTTGCCACATCCATCTGACCTAGTCACCCTTAGACTACACATATGGTATAGACACAGATCTACACTCAGCTCCCGAGCTGCGCTCTCACCAGCCATGCCACTGGCAGCTCTGCTGTATTGCATACCCACCTTCCATGCCAACCCATGGCTGGACAAAAAACTAACACACCACTATCATATCCTCCAGCAGGGGGAATTATTGGATTTCTCTAAACTGAGAGATACACATAATCTCCCTTTGACCTCACACTTCTCATACATGCAGTTGAGATCGTTCCTCCACAAGTCAACTTATGCAGGAGTGAAACCAAAACCAGAGAAGGGACAACTCAGGTTGTGGGAGCAGACATGCATAAATGGGTTATTGCCACCCTCATGTAAACCGACCTCCATGTGTTACCAACTCATAGCAAACTACTGTCCATTCCCTTCTACCAAAATAGCACAACAATGGAATATAGACCTATAGTCATGGGAGATCTGGGACACATGGAGATCAGTTAATTTGACACAAATAAGTACAACCAAAAAGAGAACATAATTTGAATATAGTCAGGATTATAGATTTCGAGGTGTATTGAGTAAGGTCGAGCCGGCCTAAGACCCCGCGGAGATCCAATACAGAACCAATACATATCTGATTTTGTACTGTATGACTACAATATGTGATGTAAACAACATTTTTGCTAGACCCACCTCTCCCTCTCTCACCCTTCCCCCTCCCCCCTTTTACTCTTCTGTATCCTCCTTTTCCTCATTATGTTGTGGTTGTTGAAATAAATAAGAAAATGCCAATAAAAATTGCCAAATTTAAAAAAAATAATAATGTTAATTCTGGTATGTGTGTAATTGGTAATTTCACCTAAAGACACAGTATGCACACTTCAAAGTATCAATAAATATAAATTAGCATATAGATATTTTTTACACTTATTTATTTTTTAATTACTATACCTATGCACAGATCAACAAGATCACATAGTGAAATAATATGATTAATTCTTGTACCATGTTTGTATTCAGACACTGGTTGGTTGGAATCGAATGCAATAATTGTTTTAGAGACGTACAACAAAATGCAAATCCCTAAAGATTATATATTTTCATAGATTGCTTTGTAAACTAATCATTTTTTTATCCTCTTTTTATTATATTTTTCAGCAATATCAAATGACAAACAACATCAACACATACAAAAAAAGTTAAAAAAAATAGACTGAATGTAGCATAAACAATTGTACAGAAAAAAAGGCATTCAAAAATACATCTGTTGATCAATTCATGTCCATCTAGTTACCATACTAATGAACCTGTATTACCCTCCTGCACAAATGAAACCTCCACCCATTTCTGTCAACGAGAGTCCCCAGTCTATCTTTTACCCTTTCTCAATTTTCTTTCCATCTCTGGTCTTATTTGGATATAATACATAATTATTTTTCCCAATTTTCCCATAAACCAGAAGTCTTGTTTGG